AGATTTACATATTGTAACACAAGTTTTTAGTTCAAATGTTTTTACCAGGCAAGTCTATCTTTGGCTAGTTCACAAGCTTCTTTTTATTAGGGTATATAAATGTCTTTCAGGTTTGACTTTATTAGAGAGCCTAGTTGGATTGGGGTGGCTTCTTGGTCATGCATACTTTTCAACCTGATATGCCAAGGTCGACCTGGTTAATGCTTGCTTAAAGTCCAATAACACGGGAAAGGAACTCAAGCACTGATGTCTTTATTTCCTATAGTTTTGGCCATTCTTTAGCCTCAGCAATTGAATCAAATGATCTTATTATTCAAAAGCATTCCTCTTAACTTTGTTCCAGTGCTACGTTTGGAGCTAAGGCAGGGTTTTAACAGGAAAATTGCTGTTTCCAGCACTATCAAAACACGCTTAGGATTTACTGAGTATACAATCAACAGACACCGACGGAATGAACCTTTTCATATCTCTTTCAAGCAATGAAACTTGAATATTCAAAGTACATCCAAGGTGAAATCCCAATGAATTTTTATTATATAACTATTTTTATGTTAAAAAAACTGTCCTTTCATTCAGAAAATAAAAAAGTCAGCTTTATACTTTCATAATGACTTTGTAATGCATTGACTGTTTGCAAATCAAAATTGTTTCTCCGAAGAGAAAGCTTCTACCTAATATCTGAAATTGATAGTTTGCTTACTTCACAAGATCTTTACCCCATTCCTTCAAAACAAAGTCAGACTTATTTGGTTAAGTTTGACACAAGTTATAAAAAAGTTACACACTATGATTCAGGGTTATGGCGCGGAAAGAACCTTTACATAAAAGCAGTTTATCATAAAGAAAGCATAAATCTATTTGAAAAACTTTAATTGTGCCAAATTGACCACCGTATTACTTTTTCATTTTTCCAAATCTCATTCTGCTTCTTGGAATTGAAAGTGGACGCATTTTATAATCGCATTTCATTTCTAACAATAATGCATTATTCCAGGTATGGCTTTCTCCTGCAAGGGTCCCAACTAGCCTTAAATTAAATATTAGAGTATTTGAAATTAATTTTGTGTTGTTTATGTTTAGAACGTCTTTTCGACGGTCTTAAAAACAGGCTGTATTGTTTGCTACCTAGCTTCTTAAGGTAGTTTTTTAGGACACTGAAAAGCTATTGCTTATCGAGCAATGTCCCGGTCCTTACTCTCGATGTGACCATTCCTCGTGATTCTTGCTCCTGGAATTACAGAGAGCTGGTGATTCTCCTCACTCTAAGGGAAAATTTGGTTATGTCAGGTACTCGAACCACAAATCCTTGGGTCTGTTAGCGACCCCACCCACTGAGCCATCCTCGCACCTAGGCAAGCAAAGTGGGTCTTTCAAAAGGAAAAAGAATGATGGCTGTGCTGAGGAGAGTCTTTATTGATGTTATCGACGCTTCTGCCTTGAAAAGCTCGTAAAATAGCACAGTAAAGGTTTTGAAAATCAACGAGTAACAGTTTGAATAAAATATATCGGGGAGAGAGGAGCTCAGAAAGTGACTCACTTTAATTTACAACGTAGCTAAATTTTTTGCCCCGCATTCATACTATTTTTGATGTATAGAACCCCAGACCGAAGGCTCGTAAGACACGGACAGATGCAGACCAAATGTGAGATGGGGCAGTTGACAAGGAGCGCTAAAAAATTTTTCGAATGTGCAAAATCCGCATCGAGCCGCGTATTTTAGGCGGATTTGGAAAGCTGAAGAGCGGTTTTGGGATAATCGAGATTTTGCCAACATTCAGGGGGCTGAAAATGTTCTAGAAATATTTTCAACCTCATTCAAAATATGAAAATAAGAGTGTAGCAGACCATTCCATTTTTCAATTGATTGAACTTCAAATAATATTTTTGCGAAATACCATTTTTCTGCGAAAAATTATTAAAGGAAAACCGGGGGGTTGTTTTCATAAATTGGAGATTTTGTCTAAGTTTCGGAAACTTTCATATTACCTGAAATTTTTATTTAACTACAAAAATATAAAAAAACTATAAAACTATGGTAATAGTGATGTTTAAAAATTAACTCAGTCCTAAGGATTTAGTAAGTCAAAAGTTATTAAAGGAAAACTAAAGGGTAATTTGCTTGCTAATTGTCAGAACGAATCGTCTGAATTGTTAGGCCTATATAAATGAATTTCAAAGAAGCTCTCTGCTCCTTGAAATGGATTCAAATGATTGAGCAATGTTTTCTTGTGGAATTTTGTTTTAAGCTTCCATTTGAAGCCTAAAGACCATTTGGATATAATATATAATATAAAAATATAAATATTTAGGTATTATAGCTTTGAAATATGAAATAACTTTGGTTTTCGGTATAAAATATGAAATGACAAATAACTGAAGTCCTCATTTAATGTTGTGTTGCAATTATCTATTTGATAAGATATCATATTACCCTTGGTTTGTTCTTTTAAATTTTCCAATCTTTTTAGGGGCATTCTTTCAAAGGAGGCGTTTTAAAGAAGGGTCGTCATTTTGTACTTCATGTTTAGCAAATAATTTTTGCTTATATTTTCTCAACGAAATAGAAGAGAACGTAAGTAGTATCATAAAAATGTTTTTATTTACCTTGATTGTTCCACATCTTGATACTATGATTTCTCTCTAAGACTACTAAACAGCAGTTTTATCAACCATTTAAGTCGCAGGATCGATTTGCTGTTAATGTCCGTTCTGTTTGTCAACAAGAGAGGAAATCTCAAAAAACGATATTGTTCATTTTTCAATTATCTTATCTGAGGCTAGACATGTTCCTTGCAAAATTATTCTTTTCCTAAATAAAACAGAAGAAGCACGTAACACACAAGGTCTCAAAATGTTGTTTATGACAATATCTTTTAATTCCGTATGGCACTAATAAACAATGCTAAAAATGATTATAAATTATGTTATTTGGCGAAGAACGTAATAAATAAATTGGATCAAACTATAAGGAAAGATTATGAAAACCATATGAATGCAACCGTAAAGAGAATCTGGCCCAGTTTTCCTCCTTAGAAACATGTAGTCAATCTCCAGTATTCATAACGTTTTCTGCTTGAGAACATCGTAAGAGTTTTAGCTTTACATGAACTTTATTCTAGCTTTTTTTCTTGCTATTAAATGCATGTAAGACTGTAATTGACTTGAAATAACAGTATGACTGTAGTATGAAGAATCGATTAATATCTGAATTTATTGGTTGTTAGGACTCTATGTGGTTAGCAGAGCTAAAGAAGGTGCATATTCATTACACATTTTCAATATTTTTATCTGCAAAGATTGAAGACTCGGTCCATTTTGTATTTGTATGTGAGTCGGTCTAACTTGTCCTGACACCTGCTTAAATAGATTCTATTTTAGGAGCAGGAATGGAACATTTGACAATTTGGAAACACTTTGCTTTGGTAATTTTAAAAAAGAAATTATGGCGAGATATCTTCAAGAAATATGAAATAATGTCATCCTCCTCATAGGGCCTCTTGTTTTTCATATGAAGCTGAACATTGTCAACTATATTAAAATCTGGTATTGATTCTCAGCATTGCAAGACTTAATTCTTCCTCTGTTGCAAACTTTTTTTGTAAAAATAGTTTATTATTTAGATAATCTTTCATTTTGTTTATACACAAACATTCCTTTAAAAAAGTTGTTCATTGTATTCGCTTTTTAACTGACCACACTCACAAAAAAATTTTGATAAGTCACAGCTCTTTTTTGGCTGCATTTTACTTCCGTAACAATATTTGAAAATTTAAAGTCCACTGTTACAGTTCTTACAATCTTATTTCCAGAAAAAACATTTTATTTGTCTTTAAACTTTGTTTTTTATGGGGCTATCAAGATTTTAAAGAATTTCTAGCCAAAAGTTGATATAAAATATTCTTATTTCATGTGATTTGTACATAAAAATGACTAGCATCCTAGTTTGCCACTATTTCGCACAAGCCTATCGCACTCATTGGGTAGGCATAATGCTGACTTGACTAAACTAGCAAAAAAGTAAACATAAAACCTTTAGCTCACCAAAGCTCGCCAGCTATCAAAAACTTTTAAAATTTCTAATAATCATAAAAACATATTTTACAACGACAGTAAACAAATGAGAACACGTGTCGAAGGCAAATTCTGGTAGCGCAGTTAATTTTAATACAAGAAATTAACGTACCTTCTTAAAACGTGCTAATAAGTCCAATTTTTAGCAAACTCAAACTCAAAATTGTTTATCATATCAAGTTATACACACGCTACGTCAATGTAAGCTTTTTAAATACGATAGTTAATGTAAATTGTGAGATAAGATACAAAGTAGTTTAGATGACTGACATAGGTTTTCACTAAATTTGATTTAGTTTTGTAAACCATTCAAGACAATTTTTTGTATGACAACTTTTGGTGGATAATTTTGGCCACAAAAATTGATTTTGAGTTTGATGATGTTGAGATAAATTTTATGCACCCACGTGGTCCAAGAAAATCTTGTCATTGGCCAAAACTTCAAGGCACTTGCTTCGTTCTATCCAATGGAATATCATATATTTTTCAATATCTTCAATTTACCTGTGGTTCCGGAATAATTTATAATTCAAAGAATGAGGATTATGTTAAGATTTGTATTTGCAGGGCATAAGAGCACACGAACATAAAATTTTTATAAATAATTAGCATTTTAGCTTTGATGTAATAAGACTTGTTTGAAATGGTTTTCTTGTGCAACAGTGCTGTCCAATCATGTTTTATGCTATTATTTCCAAAGAACATTTTATAGCAATATTTTTGGCAAATTAAAAGTTACGTAAATTTTAAAGTTATTTTACCCTAGAGTTGAAACCAACTCATATCAATAGGATGGCTATAGAACTTTTAAATAAGGTATCACTCGAACTTGAAGCTACTTGGCCACACCCTAAATTTGGTGAGCAAAAAGAAGAAACCTTTAAAGCAGCTCGATATGGGGCAGGGTATAGGCTTCATATAGAGCTTGGTAATATCAATGCAAAATCCATATGTCATATGGAGTTTTAAATTGCAAATTTGAAATCAGCACCCATCAAATAGCTATAACGCGATATTTTACTGTTTCAATAGACGAAACACGGCAGTTATTAGAATTTAGGCCAAATCGCCACAATTAAGTTCCACGCCCTTTTTCTTAATTTTTGAACAAAACAGCAAAACTTTGGAAGGGTATATTTCGAAAAAGATTTGAGATAATTTACTCAAAATTAGGGAATTTTCGTGATTGACAAAACTTTAGAGATGGACAAAAAAGGTCCTAATTCTATGACAACATGGTCACAATTTTCTCAGGTGTGTGAATTTGTAATATCACTATTGATTTTATATGGAATGACCATCAATGGATCATTACTCTGGATAAAGTTTAGCCTTATCACTAAACGGCTAAATGCATCTTAATAAACAAAGATAGCTAGATTAGTTTATAACACAGTAATTAAAAGGCGTTGCATCAAGTGAAATTGAGGTAAAACTTCATCTTGACAGATTACGCCTGACATATTATCCTCACAGAAATAAGAAATAGCTAATTATCAAATGGTTATTGAAGTTTCAAAATTTCAAGGTAGAGATCTCTAATTTTTAAATAACATGCTAAATTTAGAATTAATTGATCACTCAGAGTTGATTAATCAAGTAAAACCCACTACTTGTGATTTAGAAATTGTAGAATAAACGTTGCCAATGTCTGATAACTCAAGAGTCAATGAAATGTTTAAAAAATTATGAAATAATTTCGATCTAGTTCGAACAGTCAAAAAATTAACCTGACCTGTCTGATGGATAACGAAAACACTAATACGTGCTACCTTGAAATGATCTGTTTCCCATGCCAGAAATTCTAATGTAGGCCGGGGCTTGAACATGGGCTTGAGCTGGGGCTGGGGCTGGGGCAGGGACTGGGGCTGAGGCTGAGGCTGGGGCTTGGTATTGGGCAGGGTGCGAGATTTGATATGGGGCTTGGTATGGGGGTCGATACTGGGCTGGGTATGGGGGTCGATACTGGGCTGGGTATTGGGCTGGGTATTGGGCTGGGTATTGGCCTGGGTATTGGACTGGGTACGGAGCTTGTTGATATTGTACCCCAGACACCCCTGTGGAAATCTGCTTTTCGATCCTTGGTTGCTGTGCTGGTGGGGGTAGTGCATTGTGACTTGCGTTATGAGAGTCATCTTGGCGGTGCACAATCTGCGGCCCGCTGACTGAGCTTTCTGTCCCAAAGAATATGTCTTTCTTTATTGTGTATTCAACTTTTTTTGTTTTCCAGCTGAAAAAAGCTCTGTACACCCAAGTTAAGCCAAAAACGGTGGCAACCCAATAGGTGAAGAGATTCATCCAGAAAGTTCGGTATCTAGCATCAGCATAGGCACAAAACCGTTTCTGGAACCCTTCAATGATATCAACGTACGAAAAGCAAATACTTTCATCTCTGTGTTTATTTTCTTCAATCATTTGTTCTTGCATTTCGTTGAATTTTTCCGTAGTTTGAGCGTCGCCGCAGTTAACAGATTGTTCAAGCTTTAGACGAGTGACGCTTTGCGAGTCAAACTGTATGCCCCCCGGATCAGAAACATCAGCTGATCGGGCGATAGGGAAAACCTTGTTTTCTGTGTATGTAATCACCATCTCTTGATAGGTTTCTAGCCTTGTCTGGGTGTTTCCTTGTGCGTCAGTGTATGTAACTGTGCGGGTTCTCGTCTCCATGTGGTAGCATTCTACCGTCATCTGCCTTACAGGGTCGGTATTTTTCAATTTGTTGACGTATTCAATAACAGAGATATCTGTAGAAAAATTTGCAATGTATTGTTTTTCAGAACTGTAGCACGACTCAATCAGCATAAAGATATAACCGAATAACACCATTATAAACCCCATGATCACTAAATCTCCTAAACCTTTACCATACTGAGCACACTTAGAAGCCCCGCATGCAAAAAGATAGAGTATCCACCATATGTATGTGATAAAAGCATGAAGCGAAATAATGCGGAGGGCACTTTTGCCTTTCTTGAGTCCAATGATCATATGAATAGTCGGTATTAAAACTTGCAATAGGGGGACAATCGTCAAAACCAGTGGCCTAAACCAATCGGGCATCTTGGTCCGATATGACGTAGCGCTTCT